TAAAGGAAATCGAATTTAAATAGAAAGACTCATAATTAAAAAGGGTAAAACTAGTTCGTAAAAAGTAAATGATATTTAAATAAAACATCTTTCTTTTTAAAATAATGTAATCTAAAAATTAAAAGAAAATTAGATAAAAACCTGTTGAGGTAGTATGGAATTTTCATTAATTATTGAGCTAAATTCTGGAAATAATTGATCAACTTAAAAGCCCAATATCTCAAGAAATATCGATATTAGCGTTTCTAATATCAATTGCAATTTTTCTGTTGCTCTTTTGATTTACGAGATAGAGGCAAAAAAACGGGAATTTCATGAAAGTATTGGGTTTAGTGACCCGTACTAACTCGCTGGTGGGAGTTAGAGTTACGCCGCAATGGACACGTTTCTAGAGCATTCAATTCTGAAGAAAAACCATCATTGACTATGATTATGCCATAAAACGTCTCTGATCTGTAGAATTTCGAAGAAAAACAATTAAATTTTACGTGTATTTGGAACGAAAAATCTTTGCACGCCTTGGTCGCGCGCTTAATATTAATATTACGTGCTGAAATTTTCAGGGAACTTGTTTTTAGACATTGCCCACAAAGCACCTTAATATACATACTTTATTTTTGTGATTCTATCCGAAAAAAAAAACCAGTAAGAAAGTCTAAGTTCGGTCGGAGCCGAACATTAAATACCGGCGCATGTATTAAAGATATGTTTTTTCACCTTTCCGAAAGCTACCGCTACATGGTAAGCCGGGGTGTATCAATTTTGAGTAAATTAGCCTTAAATTTCGAAATATTGAAATTTCAAGCATTTCTGAAATTTACCGTTATATGAGAAGCGGCCGTAATTTTAGTCCGGCTTCAACAATTTTTAACGCTTTGCTTTTATGTGGCAAGCACAATAACCATACCGAGTTTAGTAATCATAAGTGGGCGGTGCCACGCCCATTTTCCAAAATGTTATCATAAACATATATGTATCTGGGAAAAGAATTGTTGCAAGCATCAATTTTGAATAAATAAGCTTTAATATTTATTGATTTACCGAAGATTTCGTATTTCTCTAAATTATCGTTATATGGGATGTGGGCGTGGCTATTTGGTATGCTGTACCAAGGCCAACAAGTTTGGAAGAAATTGGTGCAGTGGTTATCAAGTTATACACATGTAACCATAAGTGGGGGTGGCCTTGCCCGTTTTCTAAAAATTTTTGTCATATAAATTTTGAGTGAATTACCTTCAGTAGTTACTAAAATATCGCAGTTTTCGTATGCTGAAAATTACCGTTATATGGGAGGTTATTGTCCGATTTTGCCTATTTTCAATACCATCCCTCCTAAAAAAAATTCACTTGAAACTTAAGAAATAAACAGGTTGCGCAAACAACGTGTCAATAACGGTTGGAAAGTGTAACTTTGTGTGATTGCTGTCTAGCGGTGTTTTTCATCTTACAAAAACACAACAAAAAAATCTTGACGTCAGAGAGAAAAATTGATTAAAATTGAGTGTCGCACGGTGTGATATTTAATTGGTAAAAATAGCATATTTTATGGAATTTTGACACTTCCATAATTTGGAAGAAAAAAAGGTAAAAAAGTCTAGCATAGAAGACCGATACCTGCTGATTCTATACAAATAAATAATGATAAATATACAAACTATTTATTTGGAATTTTTTGGGCAATGTTCGCGTCATTTTCATTCAGCTTTGCATTGTAGCACCGTGTTATTAATATTTCGGGGTTAGTATAGTCAAGTATGTACTCGTAAATTCATTAAAGACAATTTGAATTGCAAGTTGGACGTGTTGTTGGTTTTATCGTTTTTGAAACTACATACATGAATGCATACATACATATGTAAGTATGTATGCACATAAACGAATTTACTTGTTTAAAGGTGTTAAAAAATTTGTAATAAAATGCCAATGAAGGTCATACATATGTATATATTCGTACAACTGCAAATACTATTACTTAGATTGTTCATACGATTTTGAATTTGATGACAATTACGGCAAACGTTTTAAATTCGTATGTATGCGATTATGTGCTAATATTTAATAGCGACTTCTGGCTCTGTTAAAGACAGCTCTTTTTTGTGTAACGACGTGCTTTCAAGCAACGCATAAATTGGTTGATGGCGGAGCTAAGGCTACATAGGACAACATTTCGGAATACTTTTAATAGAACGAAGTTTACAAAGAATGCGGGAGATCTGAAGGAATACCGTCGCAGTTTAAATACGTTCAAGAAGAATAATATAAACACAGAGATGCCCTTCGTGGTCCAAATTTTGTGAAGACCTCGAATGAGCCGCAGAAGTCGCGGGACTGAGAAAACGATCTTTTAAAAGTCTTGCATCTATCAGTTTCGTGGAAAATCCAGGAAGAGGGCACGATGAAAGCAGTCTTGAAACATAAGAAAAACTTTCCTGTCAGGTGAAAGTAGGCTGTCAGATCCTTTAAACTTCGGAACTTTGCGGGTCCGAACCAAGTCTCAGCTTCTATTTAGAACTGCTATCGAATTCATATACGAAATACTGCATATGTAATTGAGTGCCATGAAGAAGTGTTTAACCCTGACACACGCACATACATATTTAGCAAAATCTTACAATTTAGTAATGAAATTACTTTCAACTAATAATTTTTTTTTTAGTTATATGCGAAGGAATAATGTTTTAAGTATTTTATGACCCATGACCCCCTAGCGTTCTTATTTATTATGACTAGATGTACGAAAATGCCATTAAAATTTATTAATGTTTTTAACATTAAGACAAATGTCTTAAATCCACATATTAATCCAAACTTTGTCTACATCACTTCCAAATTAAAGCACCTCAGATTGATAAACCAAAGAGCGAGCGACTAATAAACACATCCACTCCGATAATGGTGTCTGGGCTCATTAATTCAACAACACCAGTCGCCCAGCCGCCACTCGCCACCCAGCCAGATATTGAATTACCTCCATATGTACATATGTATGTATGTAGTGATTTTTGTATTATTTTATGCTCAGACAACCACATAATGTGTAACATCCAAAACATTTATCAAATTTATATTCTCAGTGAAGGCACTGCACACTCCTGCTACACTTTTTTTTTTTGCTGCCACACACACGTACTCCTCGTGCATGTGGATGTATGTTAATATTTCTTTTTGTTTTACATGTCAGCGGTATTTTTATATTTGTATCACGCAATTTTATGGGCAGAATGAGCTAAATGTCCGACGCTTATGTAAATGTTAAAATCGTGTTTTGTTTGTGTATGGCGTGCAAGAACAGCAAAAAAAAAAATCGGCAGGAGTGAAAAATTGGGAGCACGAAAGGCCATTGTATGCATACATTTATTTCGGAACTGATTTATATCAGGATAATATGTTAATAAGTGAGAATATTTTAATATTACTACATAGTTTTGATAGTCGAAGGTTTCGTTTTTCGTAAATTTAAGACACATTTATTAAATTATACAAAATATAGTTCTACCAATTGTTGTGAGTAGTGTGAACTGCCTTTTTTTTTGGGTGCTAAGGGTAAGCGGCTTCCCTTACTAAGCGTTAGAGATGTCTTTGACCATCGTTCAATGCATAATAGGGGTAACAGCTTGGTGGACAATAGCATGTATGCATGTAATTGTAATCTTTTGAAGCGAAGGGTCTTCTTAACCCTAAACGTGAAAAAACGCCTATCTTACCGTCGAGTTTCGAGCCATCTGTGTAAAGGACATCTACTACATAGATGTAAATACTATCGGGTGCAGTGTTAATGTCTTCTTTCCTCTCCTCCCTGCTTGGCATTCTTTTTTAAAATCGAAAGTACTAAATCTCTACTAAAATTTCAAACAGAAAAATAATGCTTACAAATCTCGTTAAGATTCATCTCAAACTTTACTAAAATTTTTCACACAATTCGCATAACACGCACTTTAAAATTCACAAGAAATAGATCCAACTAAAAAAAAACCAAACTGATGTGTTTGAAATGATTTTAACCGAGTATAATGAACTGGCCTAATACATTCATCATCATTTTGTCTTCACCGAAATTTGAATTTCGAACAAAGTCATCCTGTAAAAATATTTTGTAACTTGTTTTCGACGGTTTTTCATTAGACCAAAATAAAGAAATCTGTTTTTTGGTAAATTATTTTTTATCAAATATAACAAAGTTTTAAAAAAATCTTTCTTCGTTCTAATTTAAGTTAAAACAAAAATAATATCGTACATACATACATACTTATCATAACAAATCTAATCTTTGGTCAACCGCGGCGTATGAGTAACTTATTATTTTTTGGTTCTTTACGTGAGCGTTCTAAGCCGGGCTTCGGAGCAAAGGTTTATTTTTCATCGCTCCGCTAAGGTATTTTATTTCGCTCCGAGCTCCGCTCTTGCTCTACTCCCGCTTCCAATAAATTTATTAATTTTTATTTATTTACATATGAGTCCTAAACGTAGGCGGATTTTTATTTTTTGATGCAGAAATGCATCTAGAGTTCTTCTGCATTCAACAGAAAATGAAGAACATTGCCAACCTAATTAAATATAATGAAAATTTATTTAACACGGTTGTTATCAGTGCCAAAAAATTTATAATTTAAGTAAATTTATTAACAAATTTTTTTTTTAATGTTTGTGTAAAAACGACAATAAAAATATTTCAAAATAAATCGTTACTAGGCCAGAAAATAACAAAAACAATATATTGAAATTTTTTTTAAGGAGCTAAGGGGAGCAAATTAATTTTTTTAAAACTTTGCTCCAGCTCCGCTCCAGCTAAAATCCTTTGATCCTTTGCTCCGCTCCGCAATTCTGGTTCTAATTAAATAAGATGACCGTACAATTTTTTGAAATGCATATTACATTTGTTAACAAAAATTCTACAATAAAAAAAAAAAAATTAAGCCGAAATAAATTTAATAAAATTTAATTGTAAACAAATTTATTTGAAAAAAGTGTAAAATAAATCTTAAATACCTAATAATTAAATCTAATTTATATTTATACATTTTATGGAAGCCTTACACTACTCCGCTAAACTTATTTATGTATGTAAGTAGATATGCTTACAATCGATTTTTAAGCTTTTGGCTTACTTATTGCTACATTTGGTAGTTAATCGTACTAACCAATCAAATTGAATTGTTTTGTGTGCGTCCAACATGTCTGACGTTTTTGATGTACGTTGCAACTTAGAGAAATTACACGCTTAATATATGTAGTACACAAACGACTTATAACTTTTATGACAGCCTAAAAGTATGCTTTTAAATTACAGCGTGCTAATTACGACTACTTAAATGATATTGGCGAGTATGATTTATTTTTAAATTATTTCTATGAATTTGTGCGCTGTAAAGCATAACCCCGGCACTCTCCCAAAGTCATGCATATAAAATAGCATTCTTAAAGTATTGTAACTAACAACGAAAGAAATGACTAGCTCGAATACCTGTACACCACTTTTATGCTAGTCTTAAAATTTACATCAATTCTTATGAAAATAATTTCGATACTTAAGTTAGACCGATGTCTCGTAAATGACAATTTTCAAAACTTTTGGTTTATTTTCTTGCGCTTCCTTAACTTCCTTGAGTAATGCGTTGGTAATCGCTTCCAATGCGGCGATATCGGAGTTGGGATCCTTTTTACCGCCAGTATTCCATTTGGGCATTGAAACCTTTTTTTTTGTTGTGAAAGAGAAAAAAAAAGATGCTTTAGTAGGCTGTGAAATACAAAATTTAGAAATAAAAAAGAAGCTCCAAACTAAATCTAGCAAATACTAGCTCGCGTAAGCACTAAAGTTTTGATGTGATTTGGTAAAATAAGCGAAGACTGAAGCAACGATTTTCAGATATATTTTACATGCACTTACTCTCCAAAGGCAAAAAATTTACTTTTCTAGCGTCGAAATTCGTGAAGCCGCATAAAATGGAATGAAAAACTTCTACCTACAACTTCTTCGTTTACTAATTGTTATACAAAGTTTATGAGGATGGTTTGGCATACCGATCTTAACAGTTTATGAAGCAAACAAAGAATGTTTTATAAAGAAACGCAGGAGGCATTTTACCGGATGGCGCCGGTATCCTTACGGTCATTATGGCAAAAAAATATAAATAATTTAATTGGCATGCTCCTAACAAAACAGCATTAATGAATTGAAAAAATAAGTTTATACTTTTAAATTCTTTCTTTTGAATGTTCAAGCCACGAGCAATGTCTGCGGTATCTGCGATATCCAAAACATTTTATATAAATAAATAAAACGGAATACGACTTGAAGCAGACCTCTATAGCAACAGCATCCGTACGCGTGCCTTTGACATTTTGCGCATAGAACTTTCTTATATATATTTTTTTAATATTTCGTTATTTTTTAACTTTATATAGTTGCTGTCATGATAAAAAATATAAGTTATTTACCATTAGACTTTCGCTGGCATTATGATATCTTTATCAAATTGAAGCTAGAACAAACTAATTATTTTTTAATTGCTTTTGAAAAATTTTTAAATTTTCAGCCGACCTTCAGGTACATGTATCTTCTGAAAATACCCATTAAAAATAATAGAAAATCCCGCCCCGAAATACCACCATTTATATTTTATTCTTACTAATGTGGTAACGCAGCTGGTAATTTGTACAATTTTTGAAATTTCAAAAATACCTGTATCCGTGAAAATACATTTAAGCCAAACTACCTTCTATTTTTTTACCATGGTTGTTGCCATTTTTACATATACATATTTAACTTTTCTGTCAAACGCACGCTTAAGCAGATCTACCATTCTGCTGAACAAAAGCAAATTATTAGCTGTTAAAAAATTTTGCCAATGATATGGATCTCTAAACAAGCATGCCGAATTATTTACAAAACTTTTTGGACTAAAATATTTTCAAAGCTTACGGGTAGTAATTTCTTTAATTTTACATCATCAACAGAACGCTGAAGAGTTTCAAAATAAATATATAAATAGATATCCAAAATATTTTATTAGTAGAAAAAGCAAAATGGTGAAGAGAAATTCTAAAAAAAAACATATTTTTTAATAAAAATTGTGTAGTTTTTAGTTAACCTTTTATTATACATGTTTTAAAGTATATACGCAATATACTTCTATGTAGAGAAAAATATAAGCATTTCATGAGTATCCTCTAAATTTCCACTTAGAAACGTAAAATTTGGTGTCAGCACTACTTTCGGAGAGAGAAAGCGAATAATTCGCTCGCTGTTCGTTGGAATAATTTCAATTTTTAAATTTATTATGCCGGAAGATTTACAATTGTTACGCGCTACTCCCATAAGAAACAGGGTAAACATACCGCCTATTTGACCAAGTTGCGGATACATATATGTGTGTATAATACGATGGACAATCCATGGTGCCGCAGCTTAATTTGCGTTAAACACACATATATATATTAGCACAGATTTTTTATAATTCTGATGAGGGTGCAATATTAGCACCGAAAGCTAAAGAAATAAAATGACATAATACTTATCAATTTGGCTCGTAGATATCGTCTTTGGTTTCATCTTCGGGAAAATTTGTTTGGGCCACTCTAAGACCAAAAACATAGTGGAGCGGCGAGCAAAGTGTAGAGCTATAACCGAGCAAAGCTTCAATTAAAAAAGTATATGTACGGTTTGCTCTTCACTATGCGCTATCCCATTGAAACATATGCGTCGATACTCTACGCTTTGCTTGCCGCTCCACTATGTGTTTGGTCTTAGAGTTCGGTATTTTCTCTCTCCGAAAGAAGTGCTGACACCAAAATTTTACGTTTCTAAAGAGCCTGTCAGACGTGGCAATATTTCCGTCTTTCGCACGCAATTCGCTGTCAAATTGAGAAAGAGAAATTTTATTTCGATGTGTGAACAGCCAGAAAGATCTTTCTGCCACCTTTCGGAAATCAGTTTCAGAAATAAAAGTTGCAAGGTGGGACTGCAACAGCAAGAGCGAAAATCGATTTCGGAAATATATTTCAACTTGCTCGTGCTGCACTAGCAATTTTCATTTCTTCTGCAAGTGCTGTCAAACTAATCGAGTGTTGCCGTGTGGCCCTGATCGTGAATTTATGTAAAATGATAAAAAATATTGTTGAATTAAGTATCAAAAATGCTTGAAATATATTATTTTGCTTAATATACTTAATTGTTAAATTATTGTTTACACGACAAATATGTTAATTATAACCTATATTTTCTCGCTTTTACAAGAGAATTAGCAAACAAACGACAACCCCACCGCCCATGGTTGCATTTTAGTATCGAGAAAGATTGCCAGAAACTCATTCGCTGTGTGAACAGCCAAAAAGCGATTTCAGAAATTTTTCCTGCAATTCGCCGTTCGGAAATAAAAACCTCTTTCGAAAGACACTTTCCATGCAAGGTGTGACTGCTCATGCAACTGATTTCTCAATTTGACAGCCTTTCCGAAATTTATTGCATCGAAATATATTGCCACGTCTGACACGCTCTTAAGTGTAAATTTAGAGGATACTCATGAAATGCTTATATTTTGCTCTATATAGAAGTATATTGTACATATATTAACCAAACAATTGGTTAAGCAACCCAAGATCATTTAAAATTTAAATTTGCTGAAAAAATATTACAAGCTTTAGTTGTCATAGCAACAGTAGATTTTTATAAAAATCAGCAAAACTTTTGTGAGTTTAAAAAGGATTTAGTAGCTCATTTCTATGTCATTGAGCACCCTTTATTGGTTACAGTAAAAAATTGAAAGCTGGTATAGATATTAAATATATCAAAAGAAAAAAAACTAAGGGGGTGCCACGTTTTCTACGATGACATTTTTCCCCCCATACAAAATTTGGACCACTCTAATGTATATGGGTGTACAAAAATTTCAAAAAAAAATATGGAACTTCGCGTCTTACATAGAAAATTTCCCGCACTTTTTAAAAACGAAATCAAACATTTTTTTTGTTTTTGTATAGGTACAACACCGGAAGTAAACAAACAAACAAAACTAAATGTATAAACTTCGCCAACTTTTATTTTATTTATTTCATAATATAGCCATAGGTAGAGTTATTATACCCTAGAAATTTTAGAGTGGCACAAAAATGGCCCAGAGGTCTCATATTTGTTTAACAATTTTGCAATATCAGAATAATCGTTTCCCTTTTCCCAACCTAAAAGCTATTTTATTTGCTTTGCATACTTTACACGGCTGTTGAAAAGCACATATTAGTGTAAAGTGGATAAAATTGTTAGTAAACTTTATTGAAAATATTGTAATTTCATACACGATTTTAGTTATTAAACTTTTTTTTTGAGGAAAATAATAAAACTATTTACACTATTAGAAGTTTCGAACCCACGCACACACACGTGCTCACATACATACATACATACATACCGTCAACACTTTTTGCAATGCCATGTAGTCCAAACCATAGCCAGCAGTTTCGCCCAGTCGCCGTAAAGTCTCGGCCATCGGTCCGGAAAGTTCCTATAAACAAAAACGAAAACGAGTCAAATAAAAATAAAAAAACAAAGCGCACACATAAACAAAAACAATAGCAAAGCCAAACAAAGACGAAAAATTGATGAAAAAGTTTTGTAATTGATTTAGCGCAACGCGCGTGGAGAATTTATTGCTCGACAGCTAATAATGTCCGCTGCACAGCATGCAACGGCACTTACTTGCAGCTTCGCCCAACTGGTGGCATATTGCCGGCGCACCAACTCGATAATGGTGGAAGTCAACGCCAAACCGATGAGAATGTACAAAGTGCAGAGTAGCATATAATTTGGTTTTTCTGGAAAAAAATAAAAATGAAAGAAAAAAAAAATAAGCGAAAAGAAAATGAAAATAATGGAAAGTGTTTAAAAAATTGTTTCATTTGGTGACAAATTTCAATACTAAATAAAAGACAATTGTTGCTCTGCACATACTCGGCACCAGATCACCAAAACCGATGGTTGTCATTGTGATGAAGCAAAAATAGAAACCGTCAAAGAACGTCCAGTCATCTTCCCACAGCAGCAGCAGCCAGGCGCCCGCAGCCAAATAGACGCCCAAAAAGCAAACCGCCAAAATGGCATAAAACCACGTTTTGCCGATGAAATTCGTAAAATTCGGTACTTCTATAAAAGCGGAAGAAAAATAAAAATAAAAATGAAAAACTATGTAGAGCATAAATCGAGTAGGAGCAGTGATGCATACTTGAGCAGTATGCGCTCGACGTGAAAATAGGAAAATATTTGTAGTCTAAATACATATGTACACTTACTTGGCATATATTTGCCCAACACTGAGACGGCTGTCGCAAAGAGGCGACCCCAATCGGCGATGACGGTGAGCGTAAATGGAATGCCGATTAGAGCGAAGCAGATGCAGAAAACACGTCCGCCCGTGTTACGGGTACTATGTTGCCATAACCTAAAAAAAAAGCCATATGCTCGTACACGCGCCATGGCAGCAAGAAGGAGCGCATATCCCATAGCGCAGCATGAAGTGGTTGAAAAGGATGCGCATGGAGCGGAATGAAGGCATGAAAAAGGATGGAAAGTAAAAGGTTTTGTTAAACAACAAAATTTTTCACTGTTTTTAGTAGAAAAAAAAACAAGACATACATACATATGTAGTATGTACATAAGCTCGTTGTTGTTTATTTATTCGCATTTGTTTTTGTTTACTTTCAAGCTGCATTACGTACGTACATTAGGGTGCATCACGCTTCATATGAAATAAAAATTGGTACTGTTTTTCCAACGCAATTGTACAATTTATTATATCTTAAGACTGCTGTAAAAATATCTGCGAAAAATAATAAGATTTGCATTTTCATTTGCATAAGAAGGCATTTTTAAATTATTCCAGCTCACGTAAATCTAAATATTTTAGGAGAAGTCTTAAAATAAAATAAGTTTTTTAATTCCGGTGAAAAAACCGCAACTCCTTTTTGGTGAGGCACCGTAACGTATATTCATAAATTTCGGTACACTAAAATATTTACTATGAATACATATGTACATATATTACTCCCACATGAATTTGCTTTCATAATAACTATGCCCTGCAAAAAATTGTGCGACTAATCTCTAAAGAGAGTACTCCGCGATTTCTCTCAATCGGGTACAATTGGGCATTAATTAGTCCCAACTAGTCTCATACGGGTACTAATGGAGGTCAATTAGTCTCGACTCATCCCTTATGGGTATAATTGGAGATCAATTAGTCCCCAACTCATCGCTATCGGGTACTATNTAATGATATGTACGCACTTAGTCAATGAAATTTCATGTGCGGCGTTGGCACATAGAGAGAGTATTCGCCTAACAAAACCGAGCACCCCGGTTCGAATCTCAGCTGGGGCTAATTTTTATTTTTATTTTTTTATTTTCATACCCGTTCGGGTATAAAGGTGAACAATTAGTCTCTTCATAGGACATGCTCGAACAAAATCGATCAGTTCATTCCATATAAAGAGATCAAAAGTGGTATTAGTCGCATGCTCCCTAGCGATTGCTCCCGGAGTTATCCCGGATTAGTCCCATTTTTTGCAGGGTGGCAACGGAGTGCATCTACGTACATATGTATGTATATATGCATGTATTATGTGTTTAAGTGAATCTGTTGCTCTGGTTCTTACCTATTGTAGTTAACACAGTCGATGAGAAGAACACAGCTTGTAAAATGCTCCAGCGCTCATAAGGCTCTGGAAAGTCTTTATCGGCCTCAATGAGAAGACCACCCTCAGCGGCTTCCTGTACAGCCTGTGGGTGATAATCAGATGAAAGTGTTAGTAGATACGTAGGTGAGTGCATACACTCATATGCACATATTTATTTATAAATGTATGTAAATGTGTGCTTTCATATAATAATTATTATATGAGGATAAGTGCTAATATATGTTATTGGATAGCAAACGGTGCACAGTGTGAGATTTTGCCAATCTAAGACGTCAAAATCCAATGTTAGCCAAAGTTTTAGAGATATCAACTTCAAATTTAGCATGATTTTTAAGAAGACTAGTTGGAGACAATTTTTACCGGAGTAAAACCAAAAAATTTGTATGAAATATATTGGGCAAGTTTGAAGGAAATATCATGGCGATTTTGAAACTAAATTAAAAAATATAGGTCAATAGGACCATTTTTATACAAAAATGGCCGCCAAAGTAGAACAAGGGTCAACATTTTTTGAAATTTTAACTTTTGAAAGCCCAGATTTTGTTAAAAACTAAAAAACCACCCAAATAGGATTTTTTTCTAAGAAGCTGATTAAATTAGCGAAAAAAGCTCCATAGGTAGTTTTACATTAGGGTTTTCCGTTTAGGCGTGAGAATTTTTTTTTTTTTATAACCACTGCCGATCATCTTTTTAACCCTATAACTCCCCAGGGTTGCATTTCAGATCCCATTTCCCTTACAATTTTTTGTTCATCTAGACTTCCCCTATCGCCCTCCTAAAAGAAAAGCACTTATCACTGGAACACCCTGTATACACTGAGTCTTTTTTGGCATACTTCGAAACTAGTCCCCTTTTACACTATTTGGAAAAAGTGATCAACGGCCATGTTAAAGCCTATGCTTTCCTTAGCACGCATGCCAAATTTCAAGTTGCATATCTTAAATTATGGCGTTTCTCTTGTATCTGACTCAAGCAAATTTCATGAAGCTCCTCGTGCAATATAACACTTATGTTGAAAAAAAGATGCCTTTGGGTAAAAAATGGGCAAGATTTTATTTTTTAATTCTGTTCTATGAGTATGTACGCTCATCATCTATGCTTTGTCATAACCGAACTATGCCGAACTTGTAACTTATAGACTATGAAAGTTTGAAGATTTTTTAAATTTGTCTCACCTTTTAGCTGAAATAAAGCAGAAGTTACACTTAACTCTATTGATGCCTGGTACACTAAAAGAGGGCTCTCCTCAAAAGAAAGGTGTGCTTAACGTAGGATTTGTCACGTGAAAGAGTACTTTCGTTATACATATGTCATTTACTTATTGGTTACGCAGGTATGCCCGGATTATACAAAACTCGAAGGGTGAAGAACTTTTGGTTTTTATAAAGGTTTTATAAGGCTCTCCTCGTAGACTGTGCTCTGGTGATGGTGAATGCACTCGCCTCAACAAGGTCGTGAACGAGCAACTCATCACGTAATAATGCATATTTCGGATTATAACAGTCGTGAACGTACTGCTTGCCTCGTATACC